TTTGAGCTTTCCATTTATTAGGGAGGAATACTAACTTTTCCAACATGGTCATTCAGAGTTGACATTCTCCCTTTCCCTATGCAGCTCCCTCCTTTTTGCCAATGTCTTATCCTTTTCTAACCTAGAACTCTTTAAGGTTCTGGAAGAAAACTGATAGGAAATTAATGCTAGCTATAGCTTTATTAAAGCTAAGACAACATTATTAATTGCTCAAGTGTATGTGGGGAAGAGTTCAACACAGTAAAGGATGACTTCAAAGACCCAGAAAGAAAAATGAGGGCATCTGACTAAGGATCAGTCAGAGATGCTTGATTAATATTAACAATCCCCCTTTTTCCTTTTCCTTTTTTTCTGTTTTTCTTTTTTCTAATTTACTTGTGGCATACTAGTTTTCCCCCTTTGAAGCAGAAAAAAATTAAACAATGTAAAAAGCCTTGTGGCATTGGTATTTACAGAAAATAATTATGATTAATTATAATTTACTAAGTAAGTTACTGTAAACATATACAGTTTAATAATATCTGAGTCACAGGAAACAGGCTCTGGATAGTCAGAATAGCTTTTAAAAGTGAGCTAATACTTCATGAAACAAATAGGCAAATAATCATTTTGTCAGAAGATTAGTAACATTACTATGGTACCAGGAGCAACAAGTAAAGTGGACCTGATGATTGGTCTTGTTCTTTTGTGTGTTACTAAGATCTGGTTCTCCTATGTCACCGAAAAAATTTAGTGGGTAAGAGATCATTTTATGTCAATTGGCCACTAGAAATCTGAAGTAGCAATGCTGAACTAAAGAATTTCCAGCATCTGGGTGAGATATATGCTTATTCTTTATATGAGTACAAAGCCATAATTCATACTTCTTAAATGGTAATATAAAAAGTCACAGATTATTCATGGGACTAATAAGGTCTTGGTTATCAAAGCCCTCCAGATGCCTAGACATGTCATGCAAAAAAAATGTCATTTAAAGTCCAAAAGCTAAAGTTATTTTAGTAAAACATAGCTAAAATAAATCTGAAGTATTTTAAACATTTTTTAGAGAACCACCAGATATTTCTTTTTCCCATCCAGTTCCAAGAGCTTAAATGAAACATTCATGCATTAAATTCAAAGTCTGACTGTCAAATCATTTCACTTTAATAAAAATTTGAATTACCTGCCTTAGGGCATTATTAAATATCAAATAAAAAGCACACATCCATAAATCTGATTTCCCAATATAATTTTATGTAGAACTATAACTAAATTTGTATTACACTTTTCAAGATAAAAGGATCAAAAATGTATTCATAAAAGGATGAAGTCAGAATTGGAGTTACCTTTAAAAGAATTCCTGAACCATTCTTTGGAATCTTGGAAAAAATTAGTCCCTTTAAGTTATCTCAGCCACCAAGGACACAAATCCATCCTCCTTTTAATATTCCTAAATTGTAGTTAATTGAAAACTTTGAAAAATTACACATTATCCTATTATAATGAATATGAAGTACTCAAAATATAAATACTAAATACTCCCATAAAAAATGTTTTAGTCTGTGTAAATAAGAAAGAGATGAAACAGTGATGATTATATAGATATTCAGAGAGATCTAGGGTCAAATATGGATCAAAAACTCAAGGCAATAATCTCATTTCATAAAAAGTATCATCTTTAGTTACTGATATTCACAGAGAAATGTACTAAGCCTAGACTGGAAAAATTCATAAATTCACAGCAACCACACCCCACTGCACCTCACAACTTGCCCTTCCTGCTGGGCTGCTCCTGGAAGCCCACCCTTCACTCTGCCCCAATCCCCCATCTTCTCTGCTGCTCTCACCCCTCCTAGCTACTCCATTTTTCCTTGAATAATAGAAATAAGTCATGGAAACATGAAATCTATAAGCCACTACATCCTTCCTTCCCATTACAGCATAGAAAGTGTCTACTCTCTTAACAACTGTCTCCACATTTACTTAGAATTGCATCTCCTTTAACTTTTTAAAGCCTTCATTTGCTAGGATTAGCCCCTCTGAGGAACAGTGTCAGCCCCTCCCATCTACTGGCTCAATCTCCCCAGCATACAGAAAAGTTCCAGTATTCTCTTGTTTAAAAAGAAAAGCCTCCCTCAATCCCATTCCTCTCTTTTGCTCCCCTCCCACCCCAGCTTTGCAGAGCTACTATTCCAGGCATCTCGGCCTCCTCCCTTCGCACTCAACTTCAGCCTGAAGCCTACATGCACCCATGCACCCACCCATCAGCATCATGCCATCCTGACCTCGGCCATGTAGTGATTAAGAAAAGGGCTCCACCAGTCAGGTTGTCTGGGTCCAATTTCCAGCTCTGCTGCTCAATGACTGCATTACTTTGGGCAAATGATTGAGCTTCTCTGTTTTTCAGTTAATTCATCTGTAAAGACTCACATTAAATTTTGTGAGCACTTGATGAGGTAATCCCTATGTAGCATTAGAACATTACATACACACACAAGGTGTATATACATGTATTGTGTGTGTGTATATGTGTGTATATATAAACTCTATTCCAACAATTCCCATATTCAGTTCAGATGCCTTTTTCTGATCTCCACTCTAAATTCCAGCCACTTTCATGACAGGACCACAGTCGTGATTAACAGGCATCTCTCATTCAATGTGTTCCAACTCAGCTATCTTTCCATCCCGGAACCTCCTCCAGTTTCCCTGCTGTCATACAATGGCACCCTAGCCACACAGTTTCTAAAGTCCAAAATCCCAGGAGTTACCTTTGGTATTTCCATCACCCTCCACTCTCATGTGTCACTAAGTATCACGCTCCTGTCTATTTCACATGTGGTAACTTCTCTCCTCCACGGTTTCTATTCTAGAATCTGAGCCACATGGCTTTCACCCTGGCTCCCCAGCACACTTCCAGAACACCGTCCGACTCCTGCCCCAGCCCACTGAAACCTGACCCACTGTGATCTACTGAAAGCCTAGATCAGGCCGCTCCCCTGAGTAAAGGTCTTTACAGGTTCTCAATGCTGTACAAGCCCTCTAAGATCTGGGCCCTGCCTGACTGTACTCTTTGATTTCCACACCCAGACCTATGGGGCTTCTTTCAGGTACCTCAGTGCATCAAATCCTTGCCTCCTCCACAGGGAGTAACCCCTCGAGGTCTTTGCAAAAGATACTCTATCTGAAATCTCCTTCCCTACGTTTCTTTGTCCTTCTCATTCACGGAATGTATTACAATTTGCCATGGTCTATTTTTGAAGTGTTTATCTTCCCATTGTCAGGCTCCCCACCTCAGACTCCAAGTTCCACAAAGGCAGAGACTACATCTCTTCTCCTCACCTCTGTATGCCAGGAATCAAACACATCGTAGGTGCTCAATAATGATTTTTGATTGAGTTTATTGTTTTAATTCTTTAGCTCATCCATTATAAGGCTTAACTTAAAGCACTCTCGGATTTTCTCCAGTGTTACCTTGTATGAATTACTGGAAGTTTCTTCTCACTCCTACCAAGGCACATTTGCCTGGACCTCATCAACTCCAAAATTAGAAGAAGCAGGAGTAAACTGTACTGGCTAACTCAGAAACTGAGAATGAATGAATCATTAGAATATGGTTGACTGGTATACAACAGTTATAGTTCAAAGGATCTTCTAATTGGCCCAAAGACATTCAAAATACAGAGTATTACGTGTCATGATGAATTCGAAGTAAAAAAACATATTTTGATCCTTAAGAAGCTTAAAGCCTAACAGAGAAAATGAGAAATACACAAATAGCTAAGTGGGAGAGAGAATGTGAAATGAAACGTACCATTAAGAAAGAAGCAGAGAATTCATGTTGAGAGTAGTATTAGAGTTGGGTCTGCAGGGGACCTAGGATTTCAACAGGCAAACAGAGGGGCAGCAAGGACTGAATAAGCAAAGCACATTCCCAGAAGAAAGGACAATCTGGCTGGAGTATTGGGTACATCCAGTATAGTAATAAGAGAGAGGCAGGAAAACCGGATTAGGAAACATTTGGACAACATGATGGCCTTTAAAAATTCTGTGTGGACCTCATGAGACTGTGAGCTCTCTGAGGCCAGAGATCTCTATTCATCTGTGACTCCCAGTCCATTGTACCACTTATATAGTAGGTGAGTTCAGATTCACAATAGTCTGTTAAACAGAACAGTCAGAGCTCTGTCCTGTGTACTGAGGAAAGCGTTCAAGCAGATAGTGTCCCCTGTGGAAGCAGTGGTTTGCCAGCTATGTGCACTGACCTCCACATGCATGCTGTGGCAATAGACAGGGTAAAGAAATAATCCAACATACAGTCATTCATGTATATTTTGTCTTTCCCATGTTTTTGATATTTTATTTGGTAAGCTCCTTAACAGTAAGAAATACATATATTGAATTCAATATATTAAAATGTATAGATTATATTTCAATCAATAGGGAAATGTACCACATTCACGTAACTAGTATCTTGGCCTATCAAACAAAAATATTTCCAAAGGACAAGCATTTTAATTTATGCCAGATCTGCCCCCACCTACTCTAAGAAACAAGATGACCAGATCTGCATTAGATGATGAAGGCCAACTCTGAGGCTCACATATGCCTCTGGTCCCTTCCTTTATGCTGCTCAGTCATCAGCAGGTGACTGAAATAGTTTCAAGGGTGCCACATAGTAAAGTCCTCAAGAGGTACTTTACATTTTACCTCACACAAAGAGGTACCATTTCTGTGCATCAGAAAGAGTCAGGGTGCCTTACCTTATGAAAGCCAGTATTGAAGCAAAACTTGGATTTAGGGGCATTTCTAGTGGGAAAATTATACATTTTTTTAAACATTCCACTAATTTTTAAAGACCAGTTGACTTGTAATGGGGTTTGAGAATGTGTCATAAGTTTTATCAAAATGAAGGGTGCTGATATTGCTGAATTATCAGGATTCCCATGAGAATAACTGGTAGGACAGGTTTACATAACTGTAACTGCGTGCCCCATTTTCCTTACTGAATCTGCACATACCCAGATGAAGACAGACTTGCTCCTGTTCTCTCTGGCTACTGAAATGCAGCTCTAATGACTCTGTCACTAAGTGGCTGAGTGGGTCTAAAATTGTCTCCCAAAATCCCATCACAGCCTTCCACAAGTTCTGCCCCCTTAACATGTGTCCTCAGCCTTCGAAATTCTTCAATCTGAAAATAAAAGCAGAACAAAAGAGACGAATCATTTACGAGCCACAAGACTGAAGTTTCATAAATGACTTAAAATATGCATAAAGTGTAACAATTAAAAAAAGAAAATTAAAATTAAACTTCAAAGAGTAAGGCAGACTTCAGTGCCTCCCAAGTATATCCTAAATTCATGATGTTATTGTAGGTTAACACTGATGACATGCTAGATTTACTAAGAAGAGGTTTCCTTCAAAAGACTCTCTTTGCTGCCCTCCTAGCCACTTGGAGAGCACAAGTCCAAAGAATGCCTCTGATTTTCCAAAACATTAAGCCCACCTTCCTCCCTTAGCAATACCAATTTTCAGGTTCATCTCCCTTTCTGAGGTGGCCTCTCCAGATCCTGTGGCTTCCCCTTACATGTTAGGAGGTTCCCACAGTTCTGAGGATCTGTTTCCCCTCCTTGGCAGGTCTGCACCACCTAAGAACCGTTAGCATGCCATGACTCATATGAACTAGTTAAGCAATAAGCATTCGATGAATATTCACCAACCTCATCCCCATCTACTAGCTGATTTACCTACAGAGCTCACTGTCCTTTATTTCATTGAAAGGACACACAGTCACAGGACACATGCACCAAAAGGGAAACTGAGGCTGGAGAGGTTAAGAAAGTTTCCAAATCAGCTGGGTCTGATAAGTCTAAGCCATCTGCTCTTTTCCCAGCTCCACTGCCATCTCTTCAGAAATTCTACCCTGCATCTATCCCAGGATGGTAAATGTATATGACCTGAATGGCATCAATCCACCCAAAGTTCACCATCTGCATAACAGAGGGTTGTATCTACAAAGGTTCTTGATACAGCACAGCCATAGAGTTCTGCCATTCATAAAGTGAAATGAAATGCAAGAGATCAACTTACCTAGTTCAGGGGTTCTAGTAAAAGTCCAGAAATCCAGGGGCCCATGAAACCCCCGAATGATGTACAAAATTTTACATATGCAAAATTTCCTAAGGGGAGGTTCCCTGACCCCAAAAGAGTTGATGCTCATCAGATTCTAATTCAATCCATTCATATACATGTCAGGAAGCAGAATTGGGGAAAAATCAAATGGCTTGTTAGATTAGAAATGCCCCAGATTAGAAATTTGACTTCTAAGGTTTCATTTTTCCATGTCTCTAAATGTTATCTGAATTGCCTAAATGGAATACGTCTGGCCTAACTGGTATTATTTTATTTTTCTTACAATAGCTACATGCTGTATTTGTAAAGCTGTGCCAGGCAGATAAGCAATTAGCTGTTTAATCTACACAATGGTTTTTCAGTAGACCATCTCAGGGTCTTAGAGTGGGGCTCTGGGTAGCACCTACTGCTTGCTGCATCTAGAAAATTTCTAGAGCCAAGGCTGCATGAGAATCCCCTATAATTACGTGTGGAATGTATTTTTACTTAGTTTTCTTGAACATGGAATGGAAAGAAACTTGGCCCATCAGAAGATCCTATACTTTTCAAAAAGAAAAATAAGAAGGTGAAGGTCCATGCATTCTGCATCAAAAGGCCGTTTCTCATCCTGTTTATGACCCAAGACCCAAATGACCTAATTGTTTCACTGCTTTAAGCCTTCGTTTCACCACCTATACAACAGATATGATACTAACAGTATTTGCAAGGATAGTGTAAGAAGTAAATAAGTAAATCATGAAAATCACTCAGCAAAGTTCCCAGCACATAGGAAGTGTTTGACAGATACTAGCACAACTTCTTTAGAAATCAACCTTTAGCATTTTGAGGTAAATATTTAACTACAATTTTACTTGCAAAAAGTAGACTGGAAATAGTAAACCAACTGGCTGAGGAAGCAGAAAGTCAGCTCTCCTGCGTTCATCTTACATACAATCACACATAATAACGGCAACTAGAATCTATAAAACATTTTCAAGGTCACTGAAGAGCAATAGGGACTAGAAACTTTTACTGCCTAAACACATATTAAGAAATCTTCCATTTTTATTGACTTTGAAGCTCTTTTTAAAGTGAGGTTGATTTTCTGTTTACATATTCTAAACTAAAGATAAATCTTTCAAGCCTCAGGCCTCAGCCCAAAGCACATTCTGTCTGTGAAACAGCTTCATCTTGAAGACAAGATCTGAATCAACAGCCAGCCAGTTCCAAATCACTGTGTTCTTGGAGAAAACTATTTCATGAGGAATGTTTTTCTCTGATCATAGCAACACTTTGAAAACTTCAGACATCAACAGATATCGAGGGAAAACCACGTCTTTCTGAAATGCCAATTTTTCTGAAGTAAACACCCCTCAAAACCCTTTCAGTCACTTCAAGTGGGTTCAAGCGCATACTGTGCTATCGCAAACCGAGGGGGAGGGCAAGGAAGGAACTGAACTGCACGTCAGGATAAAAGCCCTCAGCAAAACTCAAATGTCACACCAGTACAGAGACTATCATGATCACACACATGCGGATGATTTCGTCAATTTTTAATGCTTCTCTACTTAAAGGATGGTATTTGTTTTTAACCAATTTAAAAGAGAGAGAGAGAGGGAACACAGGAACCTGACACTTCAGGGAGAAATTCTCGACTTTTGGGGATAGGACAGTGGAACAGCTCTGTCCTCTGAACCCAGGCTGCATTCCAGTTGGTCTAAAACATTTATTCCAGCCTTCACGAAGTCATGACCCAGATTATTCACTCAAGTTCAGTTTTAAAACTGCCTAATTAAGAGTGTATTTAAAGGGCTGATTTCAGAGTTTGAGGTTCAGCACTAATTACCTGAGGAGTTCGCACGTTCCTATACATAAGTTCCAACAGACTTATTTTGACTACATTGTATGTATCAATCATGTTAAAAGAGAAAAATAATACATGAAATTCAGTGTTCTCATTCTACTTTGTTTTGTCATCAGGCAATGACAATACATAAACTAGAATAATATAATTCCTTATAGAAACAATCAACTAACAAAGCTAACAGCAAACTGCACTTAAACAGTCCATACATATGTATATATGTATCTATGACTTTCCACCTTTCATGTACTGCAGCCATGTTTTTATTTCATATTCTTGTACCGTTTTCTCTAAAATCATTGCTCTGTCTTTCTTCCTGACCTCTCACCTATAAACCAGTTCTTATCCCTCGCTGACTCCTTAAGCAGACCTTTCTAATTTTCTTGAGGAACAGTTTAGGGAAGAGAATATCCTTTCCCCAGTAGCACCAATGTAAACTGTCTCCTGTTCCAATCCCCAGCCCTAGTCTCTGCCACTTTCTTCCCATTACCATTTTAGGATAGCTACTGATGAACCACACACATAGAAACTTACTCAAGAATTACAGATTACAGAGTTCAAGACCACAGGGGAAGCGCTCTCTATCATGGAAAACACCGAGGACGTGGGTACAAAATTTCCCACAGAAGCCTAAAAATAATACTTAAGGAAGGGAAGAGGGAATCTCCCAGGGAGACAATCCTGGAGCTGCACCATCCAGTAGAGCAGCCTCCAGCCCCGAGTGGCCCCTGAGCACCTGAAACGTGGCCAGTCTGAACTGAGATGTGCTGGAGGCACAGAAAACACAACGCAAGTCAGATTTAATATGAAAATAAAAATGTAAACAATCCCATCGAAGATTTTTTACATTGATTACATGTTAAAATGGTCTTCTGGATACACTGGGTTGAAATACACTACTTGAATTAATTTTGCCTGTTTAGACTTTGTTACTGTGGCTACTGGAAAGTTTAATCTTACAACATGATATACACATTTTCCACTGGACAGGGCTGGTCTAGTGCCACCCAGACACACTCTCCTGCAGAAACCTGGTATTCTGGTGTTAGAGTGCTGATCTAAATCATAAATGGAGATGCACACAGGCAAATAAGGAACAGCAGTTCTGAAAGTATGCTTCCTGGAAGAAGTCTCTACCCCAGACCTACTGATTCCGCAACGCTGGGGTGCGGTCCAGCAATCCAGGTTTAACAAGCCCTCCAGGGGATTCTGTTGCACACTAAGTTTGAGAATCATGGACAGAGAATAACACTCACAACAAATGCTTCAAATTGTCTGAAATGATCTTCAAACATGATCACTCTGTGGCCCCACAGCAACGTGGTCATTTAGATTAACAGGCCCACAGAACCCATATAGGGCACGGGGGCCAGGAAGGCATGCTATGGAGTCCTGGATGTGATCGACCTCCTCGGCCGCCCAGTGCCATAGGCTCCCGGACCCTGTGGGCCAAGCACACCCCACGGCCCAACACAGGCTGTCAGGGCCATGACGGGCCCCACTATCAGAACTACAGAATCAGGAAAGATGAAGAGGCAGTGAAACTGAGATGAAAAGAAAATGAAAAGTATTTTTCCAAGTTCTAACAGACATATCCACCCAGGGAGAAACAATAAACATTCATATCCCTTTGTTTCACCTGTATTACTTGAAGTTGAAAGCAAGGAACAAATCTAATTCGAGAAAACAGATAAGAAATAACAATAAGTAAGTAAAATAAGGGGAAACACAGAAAAAGAAAAAAGGAAAAGAGTAAAATTAAATGATCAATCATTTCTCTATGTATGTGTGTTTGTGTGTGCGCACATATTTGTATACATGCCATTACATCAAAATACCACGTTTTATCAATTCTGAGTATCATTCACATTTCAGTGTCTCTGTGAAATCAGGATGAGTCTTATCTCTGTGGGCAGAGTGAATGAAACTTAGCATTTTCATTCTGTTCTTGGAATCTCATTTCCAAACATAATAATCCACCTTAAAAAAATTTTTTTTTACTTCAGCTTCCTAATGCTTAGATCGCTGTTTACCTTAAAGTAATTTAATGGTTATAGATCATTTTAAAAAAAGAGAAAATCACACTCATTCAAATACATCCAATCACATGCTTCTTTTCCCTAGCACACGGTATGCTAACCAAGAATATGAAAAATTTGACTGTGCAGGAGCTTCCTCTTCAGTATTCTAGAATTCTCCGTACTCGGGAGATGTAA